CCAGTGTCTGCTGCCGATGTCGCAGCCATCGATCTCTCCCACCGCAGCAGAGAAATGTTTACAAATGCGGGGCTGGAAAACCCAAGGGCTGGGAAATCTCCCCGAGCATCACCTGAAACACGTGACTGTTTTTCCTGCTCTGATCCCAGCCGGATTTCCCGGCGGACGGGGCGGTGCTGGAGCGGAGCCGCATCGGACGCGGTTGGGTGTGCGAGTCACGCCCTGTGTCAGCCCCGGGCAGCCCGGGGGCATTTCTGGGGGGGCTCCCGAGCATGGCAGGGGAGCCTTGTGTGCCTGGGTTGGGGAGCAGGGCACATCCTTGCTTTTAGGAGCTGGAAATTGGTATGGAATCCTCCCATTGTGGAGTGGGATGGAGAGGAGGGGGCCAGGCTCTAACGGGAGCCGCTGTGGAGGGGACACGGGGGGGCTCTGGGGACAGACCAGGATCGGTGGGTTCTGAAGGGGAGCAGCAGCACCCGAGTGTCTCACAGTCCATGTGCCCACAGGGAGTGTGCAGCCTGCAAAGGGAGAGGCCAGTGATGAAGATGAGGAGACGGAGTATTTCGATGCCATGGAGGATGCACCAGCTTTTATCACTGTAACTGCCGACCCCAAACACCACAGGTACGACCCTCCAGCCCCACTGGGAGCGCTGGGAGAGTGGGGAGGGCAGGTTTGCCTGGCATCTGGCTCAGGCCCGAGGGCAGCATCCCCTCCCATGGGATCACTCTGTGGACAAGTCCCTCAGAAAACTCCTCCCAAAGTGATCTCAACCTCTACCCAGGGCTCCCTGTCTGGCTGCTCCTGCATTCCTGGAGCCAGCCAGGCTGAGGATGGCCCCAGCTATAGTGAAGAAGGTGAGGAAGGGCAGGTGTCAAGCCTGTGCTGTGGGAAAGTGGAGTCCTCTGCCCCAGCAGCTGATGGGAGCAGGGACCTGGAGGGAGATCCCTCGGAGCACAGCAGAGGCAGGGAGCTCCTTGCCTTACAGAATCATGGAATAGTTTAGTCTGAAAGGGACCTTAGAGCTTATCTTGCTCCACCCCCTGCCATGGGCAGGGACACCTTCCACTAGCCCAGGTTGCTCCAAGCCCCGTCCA